TCCTCCCACCTCAGCCTCCCAAAGCACTGGGTTTACAGGTGTGAGCCACCACACCTGGCTATGACTTTCTTTCATGTCAGCTTCCTCCCTTTTGCATCCCATACTGTGTCTCGTGGTGTGGCTTTGAAGGATTTTTAGGTTTTTAGAGAGGTCCCAGCAAGCCCTGCCTTATTTCTACCCAGCTTTCTCAGATAGCAGCCCTGTTCCCACTGGTCTCTGAAGATTTCTGGATCTGAAAGACACATAGGAGGCCCATCTTTTGCCCCCAGGAAAATAGCTTAGGTGACTTGTCCAAGTTCACCTCCTAGTCCAGCGCACACCCTGGCATAAGCCCTGTGTCCTCATGTGTCATCCCTGCTCAGCGCTATGGCCCTGCCCCACTGTAAACAATGGATGGTTTCCCAAAACACGTCCACAGCTTGCTTGTAAATCAAATTACATTTTCAGTTCAGTAGAGAAGACTGATGCTTAAGCAAAATCGACACCCAGTCCTGCAGTACAACAAGTACTCTCTGTCACTTTCTCATTTTATAATTTGGGGGTGGGAAAATTGGTTTGTATTTTTAAGTGTTGACAATTTTTGTTTTCTTGGCCCTTTCCAAAGACTCCATTTCTCCATTACTTCTAACAGGGGAGGCTATTCAGACTTCTGGCCAGGCGCGGTGGCTCACGCTTGTAATCCTAGCACTTTGGGAGGCCAAAGTGGGTGGACTGCCTGAGCTCAGGAGTTCAAGACCACCCTGAGCAACATGGTGAAACCCCATCTCTACTAAAAATACAAAAAATTAGCTGGGTGTGCTGGTGCACACCTGTAGTCCCAGCTACTCAGGAGGCTGAGGCACTAGAATTACTTGAACCTGGGAGGCGGAGATTGCAGGGAGCTGAGATGATGCCACTGCACTCCAGCCTAGGCGACAGAGCGAGACTGTCTCTAAAACAAAAACAGAGAACACTGAAATAGCTCATTTAACATCAGTCCCCAATGTTTGTCCCAAACAAGCAACTCCTTCTGTTTTACTTACCCCAGGAAAAGAGTGAGGAAAGGCAGGGTTGTGCTGGATACCCACTATGTGCAAACGTGTCCATGTGCAGACACACACTCACCTGTAACCCTGCAGTCAACCCTGCATAGTAAAAAACACATGAACACTTCAACTGACCAGGTGTAGCTTTCAGTACCACCTCTGCCTCAGCTAGCTCTGTGGCCTGGGCATCTCTGCTGCCCTCCCCAAGCCGCAACTTCTGCGTGTGTTCAGTGGGCATTCCGAACCTACTGTGCTGAGAGAATCCAGTGCAACCTGCAAGCAAAGTGCCTGATACATGGTGACATGTGGTGCGGGCCTGAAGTTTCTGGTGTCAAAGACTCCTTTACTAGCTATTTCCCCCTGCACCTCCCTCTGTCTCTGACACCTGTTTATGGAGGTGAGGCTTTGAGGCAGCGGCCCCAGGTATGGTGAAGATCTACTTTTTCCAAGATCAGTCAGAGTCAAAGCCTGGAGGAGCCTTGCTGTGTGTAGGGTGGCTGGCGGAATCAGGGTCTGCCCACACCTGAGAAACCTAGGTCTTTGTTTCAGCACTCCCTGGATGATGGAGAGCAGCCCAGAGAATTCCCATAGGTTAGAGAGAAGCAGGTGGAGTCAGAAGTGGGTTAACTTGTGATATTAAGCATTAAGGTGGTGAAACGAAGGAATAATGTGGAAATAATTCCAGAAAAGTGGAGTAGATTTTAATCAAGGGTGACATGCAGAAGGTAAGAATGATAGGCCAGGTGCAGTGGCTCATGCCTGTAATCTCAGCACTTTGGGAGGCCAAGGCAGGCAGATCACCTGAGGCCGGAAGAAACCCCGTCTCTACTAAAAATACAAAACTGGCCGAGCGTGGCGGTGCAGCCTGTAATCCCAGCTACCCAGGAGGTTGCAGTGAGCTGAGTTCGAGCCATTGCACTCCAGCCTGGGAAACAACAATGAAAGTCTATCTCAAAAAATAAAAAATAAGAAGATAATGATGTAAAAAGTGACTTACTCAACTAGGAATTTTTTTTAAATTATGCTTTTCTGTCTCCTGCAATGTCAATTGTGACATCAGTATCCCCTCCTTTCATCCCCTCCAGTTGCTGTCCCCGTTCTCTGCCCCACTTCACAGCAGAACTTCTTCAATGTATTGTACCTACCCACTACCTCCAATTCCTTTCTTCCATTCTCTCTTGAATCCACTCATTAGGTTTTCTCTCCTCCGCATCCCACTGGCCCTGCTACTTTCTGTCATCAAGGTCACCTGTTGACCATCCATGACCTTCATTCGTGTTGCTGAGCCCACACATAGGTCAACCCTCAGTCCTTGCGCCAGCTGCCCTCTCAGCAGCATGTGACACGGTGAGTCACCCCATCCCCCTTGGCAACTTGCGTCACTTGCCTTCCAACACAGCTGACTTTCCTGGCTTTTTTCCTCCCTCACTGACCGGTGCTTTCGGTCTCCTTTGCTGGTTCCTTTTCATCTTTCCAATCTGTTAGAATACCGGAGTGTGCAGTCCTCAGTTTTTTGTTTTATTCTTTTTTTTTTTTTTAATTAGAGACAGGGTCTCACTCTGTCACAGTGGCACAATCATGGCTCACTGTAACCTCGAACTCCTGGGCTCACGTGATCCTCTCACCTCAGCCTTCCAAGTAGGTGGGACCTGCGAGCCACCACACCTAGCTGACTTTTTTTTTAGGAGATGGGCCCTCACTATGTTCCCCAGGCTGGTCTCAATCTCTTGGTCTCAAGTAATCCTCTTTCCTCGGCCTCCCAAAGTGCTGGGAGGGATTACAGGTGTGGACCACCACACCCAGCCAGGCCTCAGTTCTTAAAGCATTCCTCCTCTCCATCTCTACTCACTCTCTCAGGTTCAGCTGTTCTTTTGACTTCATTTATATGCCAGTTACTCTGAAATGTATACTTGAGCCCAGAACTCTCTCTTGAACTGAAGATTCATAGATTCAGTGACCCTTTGATATCTAAGGAGCGTCTCATCTCAACATGTCCAAAATTCCTGATTTTCTCCCTGAACTTGCTCCCCGCTACATTCTTCTTTATCTCAGTAGAAGGCAACTCCTCCCGCTAGACGTTCAGGCCAAATCCTTTGGAGTCATTCTTTATTCTGCTCTTTCTCTTACACCAGCATCCTGCCCATAGGCAACTCCTAGTGACTCTACCGTCGAAGTACACAGAATCCGACCACTTATTCTTCCCCCTCCTCCACCACCACCGCCACAGTGCCGGTCCAGAGTGATCCTGCTTGGTCTTCCTGCCTCTACCCTGGTCCCCCTAAGTTTTTAACTTAGCAGCCAGAGGGATCCTTTTAAAATCTTAAATGAGATTTTGTGAAGCCTCTGCTCAAAACCAAATGGGAGGGGCATGGTGGCTCATGCCTGTAATCCCAGCACTTTGGGAAGCAAAGGTAGGAGGATTGCCTGAGTTCAGGAGTTCAAGACTAGCCTGCGCAACATGACGAGACCCTGCCTCTACAACACACACACATACAGACACACACATACGTGTTTTTAAAAAAACATCTGAAGGATTTCTTATCTCATTCTGAGTAAAAACCAGATCCTTACAGTGGCCTACAAGACCTTTGTTCTTGAACTCGTATTTCTCTCCCCTCCTTCACTGCGTCAGCCACGTGGGCCTCCTGGCAGGGCCTTAAGCACATTAAAAAAAAAAAAAAAAAAAGTAGCTGTGCCCTCTGCCTGGAATACTCTTTCCCCAGATATCCTCATGGCTTACATCTTCATGCATATCCTTTTTTTCTTTTTTTTTTTTATCAAATGTCACCTTTTCACCGACCTTCCCTGACCTCCCTGTTTTAAATGGTAACCACCTCATTGCCAGTATTCCCTGTACCCCTCCAACTTTACTTTCTTTCATGATCTATCTGGCATACGTACTTCCTACTTATGATCTTCTCCCTCCTGTAGTCAGGAATTTTCCTTCCATTTAGCTCACTAATATATCCCCATGCCTAGAAGAGTGCCTGACACAGTAATAATTTTGAATGAATGTATTTGATTCCATCATATTTTACTTTTCTCTGATGTCAATTTCACTTAGAGACCATCTGCAGGATAGCCTTCATTCTTTTTGCATGCTGTTTATATCACAATAAAAATGCCCCCCAGCAGAAAGTTAATCTTCCTTTGCCCATTCCTCCGAAATGATTTAGAAATACCAGTCGTATCCTTAAAAGTTATATGTAAATGAACATCATATTATAGGAAGCAGTTGCTTCTCTTAACTAATATTGCAATTATTTTCAGATTTAAAGGAAGCAAGAAAGATGAAATTCTGGGAGTTTCATATAACAGGTTGATTAAAATCGATGCCGCCACCGGGATTCCAATGACAACATGGAGATTCACAAATATCAAACAGTGGAATGTAAACTGGGAAACCCGGCAGGTAAAGTGAAAGTTTTTGGTGTTCAGCGTTGAGCCTATAAATGTGTGTTCCCTCAGAATTGCAGATTATTCTGATTTTTAAAAGGCGTTCTTCTATTTAGAGCTAAGAAACCACAAGCATGTGGTAATTGTCTGCTAAAATAATCATGCAATTCTGGGCAGCTTCCTAACAAGCACAGGCCAAATGCTCTTGCATTAGCACTGGAAGTTGGCTTAGTCTCCATGCAGACTTCCAATACAGACAGGTTCTAAAATTGCTAAGAGCAGTTTGATTAATTTCTATTGACTCAGCATTATATATAATGCTGATTATATAGGATTTAGGTTGATCATTACTTAGCAAAAACTACTGGAGCTGTAACTGCTATGCAAAATAAATCCAAAAAGGGTTCATCTAACTGGCTGCGAAGAAATCTGGTTGAGGACTCGAAGATTCAATTGCTCACCTGGAGAGTACTCCAGTCCCAAAAGGGAAAAACTGCCGAAGAAGCAAGTGAGGTGCATAGCATTGACTGAGAAAAGCTTCGCTTTTTTTTTTTTTTTTTTTTTGACGAGTCTCACTCTGTCACCCAGGCTGGAGTGCAGTGGCATGATCTCGGCTCACCACAACCTCCGCCTCCCAGCTTCCAACAGTTCTCCTACCTCAGCCTCCCAAGTAGCTGGGATTACAGGCGTGTGCCACCATGCCCAGCTAATTTTTCTATTTTTTGTAGAGATGGGGGTTTCATCACGTTGGTCAGGCTGGTCTCGAACTCCTGACCTCGTGATCCGCCTTCCTCAGCCTCCCAAAGTGCTGGGGTTACAGGTGTGAACCACCACGCCTGGCCAAGCTTCAGTTCTTAAAACCAGGAGCCCTCAAACCCTTAGCCTGTGTTACAGCCTCCCATCATCTCCCAATCCTAGAAGCTAAGTTCAGGCCAAGCCTGTATCATGGAAAATTCTAGATGAAATTAGAGGCACCTTAGCATCCTCCACTAATTTAAAACAGTCTATTCAGTGCTTTGGGATTTCGAGGTGGGAGGATCAGTTGAGGCCAGAAGTTCGAGACCAGCCTGGGCAACATAATGAGACCCTATCTCTACAGAAAATTTAAAAATAAATAAATAAAAAAAGTCAAATTAGCCAGGTGTGATGGTGTACACCCCTGTAGTTTCAACTACTCAGCAGGAGAGGATCACTTGAGGCTCAAGGTTACAGAGAGCTATGATTGTGCCACTGCACTGCAGCTTGGGTAACAAAACGAGACCCTGTTTCATTCATTCTTGAATTAATGAAAACATCCTGATGTTGCTGATAAACAGTCAATCTTCCCTCACTCCTTTGGCATTCTCGTTTTCCAGTAGAAAGTCATTGATGAAGAGGGATGACAAGAGGCCCACACATTTGTTAAGAACCCTGGCTTCCTCTCAGCAGTGCTGATAACCATCAGGGTGCTTATTTGTAAAATCAACTCAGAGATTAGATGACTTCTAAGGCTGTAGCTCTAAAGCCTTGATGCATATTGGGATCACCTGGAGAGCTTTAAAATACCACTGCCCAGACCACACCCAAGGCCAATTAAATCTGAATCTCTGGGAGTAGGAGCTAGGCATTAGTAATTTTTAAAGGTCCGCAGGTGATTTTAATGGGCAGCCAAGGTTGAGGAACAGCAAAATCTCTAAGTCTTTCTTCTAGAGCTTAGAGTTTATGACTTTCATCTAGGAAAGGGTTTGGGGCAGTGGCGGTAGGAAAATTCAAGCAGATCTTTTATTATCCATTAAAGAGCCTGCAGGCTGGGTGCACTGGCTTGTACCTGTAATCCCATCACTGAGAGGCTGAGGCAGGTGGATCACTTGAGGTCAGGAGTTTGAGACCAGCCTGGCCAACATGGTGAAACTCTGTCTCTACTAAAAATACAAAAATTAGCCAGGTGTGGTGGTGAGCACATGTAATCTCAACTACTCAGGAGGCTGAGGCACGAGAATCACTTGAACCTGGGAGGTGGAGATTGCAGTGACCTGAGATCGTGTCACTGTACTCCAGCCTGGGTGACAGAGAGAGACTCCATCTCAAAAAATAAAATAGCACTCTGCCCCCTCAACACAGGGAGTGCTTGGGAAATCCTTATATTTAAACTACAAACAGAAAATGTGTTGGGAGTTTTTTTAACCAGATGTGCAGCAAAGTCGACACCACCAGAGCAAAGATGTTTTCTGAAAGTGTTTAATGGAAGTGACGGTTTTCTGTGCGTTTTAGGGGGATATCCATCTGTCATCCACCTCAGCAGCCTTCAGCTCCAGGGTCCAGTACAGCAAAGTGCCCCTTTCTCATCATTTGTCAGAGTTTAAGCTTCTCTATGCCTTCCTCTTCCAGGTGGTAATTGAGTTTGACCAAAACGTCTCTACTGCGTTCACCTGCCTGAGTGCAGATTGCAAGATTGTGCACGAGTACATTGGGGGCTACATTTTCTTGTCCACCCGCTCCAAGGACCAGAATGAAACACTTGATGAGGACTTGTTCCACAAATTGACCGGCGGTCAGGATTGAAGCAAGCACGTGCCTACTCGGCTCACACCAGCAAGGACAAACCAAAGGCGCCTCTCCCCAGAGGGATGGGATCCATGACTTGCTCAGCATGTAGATGCTGGACTAACAGACAATATACGTTCACCTCTGGTCACCTGGAGCCTCACCTTATTTCAAACCCACTGGGTTTTTCCCTTTTGGCACATCCCTTTCCTTACTTTACCCTGTGCTACCAGGAAGGAGCCTCTCTTGTTTTTTCTATAAAACGGGTGCGCAGGAGAAAGGGAGGTGCCCTAAGATTGCTCTAAGGCCCAGCCTGTGGTTACAGATCTGTGACTTGCAGAACCTGCCAGGTGTATGGCTAGAAGTTGTCCTTGTGCTGATGTGTCTCATTACTAAGTCAGTGGAGAAGACAAAGGTAAAAATCATGTATCTGGTTTACATCATAAAGTACAATTCTCATTTTACAAACTCAGGTATGAAACGAAACTCCTGTCCTTCATGGAGCTGATTTTAGCTCCTGTCTTTTCAAAATGGCTGAGGGAGTTCCTACACACACTTTTTCCCTGGAGGCCAAGTCTAGGGGTAGAAAGGGGAGGGGCAGGGCTACCAGGTAGCAGTTGACGACCAAAGGCCTGAGCAGTGGCCCTCAGTGTCATCTGTCCACAGAGCTATCTGCCAAGACGACCACTGACCCACACCTGGTCTTGGTTGTTGGTTTCAGGTTTCTCCTGCCACCTGCAAGCCCCATTCCGTTCCTACAGGTCTCTCGGCCATCTGTAAGTCCTTTGTGAAGACGTGGGTGACACGAGGGTACAGGAAAACCCATTCCTCAACCCAGATCCACGTCTCAACTGCTTCTACTCTGCGTTGGCGTTCAGGAAGACAGGCACAGTTCTCTCTAACCATAGAAACACCTCCCGGCATCAAGGATTCCAGTCAGGTCTCTATCCCAACTGATCAGGGAGAGAAGGGCAGACCTATTGTCAAAGACCACCATGTCCAAGCTCTGACGGCTCCCCACTGGCTGCCACCACAGGGGCTTTGGGCTGGTCTGGGTCATGGGGAAGCATCCCTCTTACTGCTGGTCAGATACCAAATCTCCTGGATTTGGCATCTATGTTGGTACAACTCCTGGCCTTTTCTCTAAAGGCCTTTGGCTTTTATAAATCACAAGCCAGTAATACATCCCCCCCGCCCCCCTGCCACCGCTCTGTTTTTTGCTGTGTCATCTCTGCCTTGAGACCGTGCTTGCCTTAAGAGAGTGAGCCAATTAACAGCTGCCTGAATTGTCATTTTCCATTTCGGTTTGTTAGAGGTGGGAGGGGTGGGTTTTGAGAAGGTTCAAAGCAATACCCAAAGTAAAGGGAAATATCAGACAAGATGTTATCATTTTTATAGATGTTCTCCTGCCACACAAAGAATTTGGGCTGCAAGGATAAGGCAAAGGCTCCAATCCTATTTCTCCTAGGATGCATTCTTCAAGAGCCTGGCCAGAGTTCCGAGGCCCGCGAGCGTCAGCTGTTATTTCCCAACAAAGCCCTCTGACAAATGAGACCTCAGCAGTTCCGGGAGCCACGTAGAGACAGCCTTGGCGAGGGGACCCGAGGTCCTGAGCCAGCAGCTGCCATCTGGAAATTCTTCTTTTAGCCTCTCCTTAGAGGTGAATGTGAAAGAAGCCCCTCAGGCACCCGCTGAATTTCTGAGGCCTTGTTAAAGCTCGGAAGTGGCTTAGGCATTTGGGAAATGCGGTTTACATCATAAAGAACTTGAATTGAAATGTTTTCTATAGAAACAGGTGCTCAGTGTACTGTGTTATACTTGGTGTTGGTCATTTCTCAGTCCCGGGCTCTATCATTTTAGAACCTTGTCAGTTATTTAAGATTATAACTGGCCCTGCATTAAAATAATGTATCTTGATGTCAGATTTTACCTGTTTGCTGCCGAGAACATCTCTGCCTAATTCACCAAAGCTGGACCTTCAATTCAACGCACTTCCTTGGCTTTTCATGGTTGTCTAACATTTCCATGAAAACAAAGAAACTAACCGGTTTTGCCTTGAGAGAGTGAGCCAATTAGCTGTAACCAAACAAAGGAACAAACTTTGTTTGGTTACAGCATTCAGGGGAGCATTTTTTCTGTGACACACAGCAACATCCCAAAGAAATAAACAAGCATGACAAGAAAACCCTAAATGCTACCGTTCCAAAAAGCAACTTAACATCTTTTTTATATTGCGTGCAAAAGGTCACCCAACTTCCTATGATGAAATTTTAAATTAATGGGTGCCTTTCGGCATCATTTGCTTCCTTATCTACACTAGAGTCAGAAATCTGCATTTTTTATTCTTTTATATGACTTGTAATTAAAAAATGTATATAGATTTGAGTATGGTCCTGTTGTGTTCTCTCCAACCTACTGTCTCCATAAAGGTGACTGTTTTCTCTATTAGAAATGTGTCTCTCCTCACAGCACCAAGATTCCAAGTCTTTTGCTCCCGTGGTATCAGGAGTGGCAGATCACGGGCAGGGGTCCTCAGAGAGCACCTTAGAAACCTCACTTAACCGCTGGATTCAACCTTCTCACTGACTTGGTCACAAATTTTCTGGCATATCCTGCCTTATCGTGAGCTCTTTTGTCTCTTTCTAGGCCTATATTTAAAAAAAAAAGAAGGCAAAAAAATATCCAGCAGCAATACAGTAGCAGAAGCCTCTGATTCTGACGGCTGAATGTTGAGGGCACTTTGCTTTAGTGACATGCAGTTTATAGATACTCCTTTGTGCAATTCTCACATCAGCCCATAGGGGGTAGAAATAGCTTGCTTTGCAAAGGAGAAAGGCTCAGAGGGTGAACCTGCCCAAGGTCACACAGCCAATGAGCAGTGTTTGTAAACCAGCAAACCCAATACCCGTTACCCCAGCTCCAGAGCAGGCTTCCCCGAGCTCAGGCTCACACCAGTAAGAGAGAACCAGGGGCAGTAGGAATAGTTAGCTGCAGGAGGATAGGCTAGACCAAAAAGGCCTGGAAGCCAGAGAAATGAGGTGCCTAGAGAGTTATTTTGTTCTTTGGGTTTTTTTTTTTAATTCTGGGAAAGTTTCACTTTTAGTCCCAAGGTCAGAAAAGTAAGGAAATGAGAAGGCTTTAATTTGAAAACTCATCTTTTGATACAAGAAGTCAAGATATTTTGTAATACCTGTTTTCTAAAATCACTTAAAATTTTTTTTAATTCACAAAATTTCTTTTTTGGGGCTGGGCATAGTGGCTCGCCTTGTAATCCCAGCAGTTTGGGAGGTCAAGGCAGGAGGCTCACCCGATCCCTGGAGTTCAAGACCAGCTTCGGCAATGCAGTGAGACCCCATCTCTACAAAGGTTTTTCTAAATTAGCTGGGCATGGTGGCACACAGCTGTAGTCCCAGCTACTTGGGAGGCTGAGATGAGAGGATCCCTTGAGCCCCAGGAGTTCAAGGTGGCAGTGAGCTATGATCATGCCATCACTCTCCAGCCTGGGTGACCCTTTCTCAAAAAAAAAAAAGAAAGAAAATTGGCTTCTACATTCAATATCTCTATATTTATTTTCATTATTTTCTCACGCAAACGTGACTCTCCTGCCTCCTCCCCTTCCACCCCTGTCACCCAAGAATCTCTCAGTGGTAGAGGGAAGAGGGGAGCATTCCTCTTTATTATTTCACCCATCTTTCCTTCTCATGCCCCCTACATCCAAGGACTCTTGAGTCTAGGAAATCATAGCTGGAAAATCTGAAGGTCAGCCCTTGGCCCTCACTTGCATTAAAGTTTTTCCAATTCCTTGCACCTCAATGGAGTTGTGTGGAAATATTGAATGCTATCAGAGAGAGGGGGAAAAAATAGCTGGTTTTTGTTCTGTCCTCACCAATGCCTCTGTAAGCCCTGAAGTTCAGCTGTCTATTCTTGGGATGGTAGGTTCTCAGACTTCTTTAGCAAGGAACTTTTCTTGCTATTAGGTTGGTGCAAAAGTAATTGCAGTTTTTGCCACTAAAAGTAATAAGTGAAAGTAGGACCCTAATGAATTAAGCCAGCCCTGAGCCCAGGGTTCCATGGAACCTAGTTTAGATGCCACTACACTGGATGGTTTAGAAAAAGCCATCCTGGGCCAGGCACGATGGCTCACACCTGTAATCCCAGCACTTTGGGAGGCCGAGGCAGGTGGATCACTTGAGATCAGGAGTTCAAGACCATCCTGGCCAATATGGAGAAACCCCATCTCTACTAAAAACACAAAAATTTGCCAGGTGTGGTGGTGCACACCTGTAATCCCAGCTACTCGGAAGGCTGAGGCAGGAGAATCACTTGAACCCAGGAGGTGGAGGTTACAATGAGCCAAGATCGTGCCATTGCACTCCAGCCTGGGCAACAGAGTGAGACTCCATTTCAAAAAAGAAAGAAAGACATCCTGACATTTGCCCACCCATCTCATCAAGACTCAGTGATGGCTCACATCTGTAATCCCAGAATTTTGGGAAGCCAATGCAGGAGGATTGCTTGAGCCTAGGAGTTCAAGATCAGCCTGGGCAACAGCAAGACCCTGTCTCTATTTAAAATAATCGTAACAATTTTTTCAAAGGCTCAGTTATCTCAGAGGAGTCCCAATTTTTAAAAAACCTGAATAAGAATCCTCCTAACACCTGTGGGGAAGATTCTTTCCACTAAAAGGATTTACCTTCTTTCTCCAACTCACTGTGTGAGCTCCAAAAACACCCGTAAGCCCCCGTGTGCCTCACTGTCTTCAGTCACTACAGAGGAAATATCCTATCACCACTTCTCCCTAGCCACTGCAAATGACAAACCCTGCATGAGAACTTAACAGGATAGTGTCTCTCTTCTCACCCCTGGAAGTTGGACGGTGAGGCCTCTGACTGCTCTGACATCCCTCAGATGCAAAACTGGACCCTGGGGAGAAGGCAGAGCCCTGTGTGAGAGCAGCAGAAGACCTGGAAGAGGGGAGGGCCCAACGCCCCAATCCTGTGTCCTCTGACTCAAGATTTCTGTTGATGGACATCAATGGGTATTTATGTCCCTCTGGTAACAGGGAGGGCAAATGAGGTTCAAAAATACAGACAGCTATGACTGCACCACTGCACTCCAGCCTGGGCAACAGAGCATGACCCTGTCTCTAAAAATCAAATTTTAAAATAAATACATAAACATATGTATTATATAAATAAAAAATACATATATATATAACTTTAAGGAAAGAGTAGGGCTTGCCACAAGGCCTGGGGTCAGGGCTCAGTGCATAGGCTCTATTGTGGTGATGAGTAGCTGGTTTGGGCCCAGCCCCTAGCTGGTAAGGGAGGCTATTGGAAGACAGCAAGGGCGTCTTCCAGGCAGTGCTACGGAGGTCGGGAGGCAGGAGTAATGGTGGGATATTCTGGGAACCCAGGAGGGCTAGGGATGAAAGTCTGACCAGGTACTTACAAAAGGGCCCTGGATCTCTGTGCTACCAACTGAACTTCCTGAAATGTCACTAAAGAACCAACATTATTGGCAGCCAGTCCAGCCCATGTGACCCAGTGTTATTAAAAAAAAAAAATGTAGCAGAATCACTGTTGCCTTTCTAGGAGTTACAGACATCCAACTTCAAAATAGAAATACCCTCATTGCTATTGAGGGTGAGATTCCAAGCATTAAACCCACATGGACTGCAACTCCAAGTGTGGTCCTTGGCCCAGCAGCATTTGTCAGAAAGGCAGAATCTCACAAGGCCAGGACTAGGGTGGCACAGTGAGGCGCCCTGGGCACAGCATTTAAGGAGACCCTTCCTGTCAGGGTTGTGCAGGTCACCTCCTCAGCTCACCCTACCTCTGAGGTCCGCCCAGACCATTCTGTGTCACAGTCTGACTTTTAACAAGACTCTCAGCGATATGCAGGCCCAGAGAAGTTTAAGAAGCTTTGGCCTTAGAGTGTGGCATGGATTTGGCAGGGAGGATGCCAGACACCAGAGAAATTGTCAAGAAAGGGTGTAGATGTCATAAATCCTGCCAGCCAGTGCACTGAGTTAATGGTGTTTCCCAAAATTCACATCTAGACAGAACCTATGAATATGACCTATTTGAAAATAAGGTCTTTGCAGATGTAATCAAGTTAAGATGAGGTCATACTGGATTAGGGTGAGCCCTAAATTCAATATGACTGGTGTTCTTAAAAAATGGAAAAGAGAGGCTGGGTGGGGTGGCTCACGCCTGTAATTCCAGCACTTCGGGAAGCCGAAGTGGGCACATGACCTGAGATCAGGAGTTCGAGTCCAGCCTGGCCAACGTGATAAAACCCCATCTACTAAAAATACAAAAATTAGCCAGGTGTGCTGGTGGGTGCCTGTCATCCCAGCTACTGGCAGGATACGGCAGGAGAATCATTTGAACGTAGCAGGCAGAGGTCGCAGTGAGCCAAGACCACGCCACTGCACTCCAGCCTGGGAGACAAGAGGAAAACTCCATCTCAAAAAAAAAAAAAAAAAAGGAAAAGAGGCACAGAGGGGTAAAGGCCATGTGATGATGGAAACAGGCAGGGGTGAGGTAGGTGCAGGCCAAGGAGTCCCAAAGACGGCCAGCAAACACCAGAAGCCAGGAAGAGGCAAGGAAGGGTTCCTCCCTGCGCCCTTCAGAAACAGCACGGCCCTGCTGCCATCTTGATTTAGGACTTCTAGGCTCCAGAACTGTGCAAGAATACATTTGTTGCAGCTACCAGGCTTATGGTAATTCATTACAGCCGTTCTAGGAAAATAATGCAGCCAGAATCTTCCTATCTTGTAAAATGGGGTTGCTGCCTTTCCACTCTGTCACTGGAAGAAATATATGAGAGAATGATGCAAAAATGCTTTTAAAACCAAAATATGCAATACAAGTATAAAGTATTATTTTTAACAAGAACATACTTTTAATTAGAAAAGTATTTCATCAGCTTATTTTCAAATAAGTGTGATGGTTTGTGTGACAGTTTGGACCGTTGTTCAGCAAATATTGGCTCCCCTCTCTTCTCCCGCTGTGGGTAGCATGTACTACCCGCCCACTTGATGTTGGGCTTGGCCGTTTACCTCCTTTGGCCAATGGGATGTTAGCGGGCATGAATGTGAGCAGAGGCCTCCGCTGTGCTTTTGCAATTCGTTTGCACTCTTGCATCCACTGTGAGAACAGGATTCCCCAGGTCATCACCTGAGCCACTGAATGGAATCCATGCAACAGAGCTGAATGGAGTCCACAGCCTACGCCAAACCCAGCTAGATCAGCTGACCCACAGACACTTGGTGTGGGAATCAATTCTTGTTATTGTAAGCCACTGAGCTCTGGAGTAGTGTGTTAAGCAGCATCACTGGAACATCTGACTAGTGCAGGATGAGATATCCCCAAAACGTA